TGGTCCGGGAACGCCTTGGGGTCCTGCCGGAGGAGCTGGTGGAGGTGGCTGGGGAGAGGACGGCCTGGAGCTCCCTAGTTGGGATGCTGCCCCCGCGACCCGGACCCGGATAAGCGGAGGAAGACGAAGACGACGAAGACGAAGGCATCTGCTTGGTCTCAGCTATAATTAAGATCTAATTTGGGATTAAGTGGACATAGATTTAGGTGTTGGACATACAGTGGCGTGAAAAACTATTTGCCCCTTCCTGATTTCTTATTCTTTTGCATGTTTGTCACACAAAATGTTTCTGATCATCAAACACATTTAACCATTAGTCAAAAATAATACAAGTAACCACAAAATGCAGTTTTGAAATGATAGTTTTTATTATTTAGGGAGAGAACAAAATCCAAACCTACATTGCCTGGTGTGAAAAAGTAACTGCCCCCTGAACCTAATAACTGGTTGGGCCTCCCTTAGCAGCAATAACTGCAATCAAGCATTTGCGATAACTTGCTACGAGTCTTTTACAGCGCTCTGGAGGATTTTTGGCCCACTCATCTTTGCAGAATTGTTGTAATTCAGCTTTATTTTAGGGTTTTCTAGCATGAACCGCCTTTTTAAGGTCATGCCATAGCATCTCAATAGGATTCAGGTCAGGACTTTGACTAGGCCACTCCAAAGTCTTCATTTTGTTGTTCTTCAGCCATTCAGAGGTGGATTTGCTGGTGTGTTTTGGGTCATTGTCCTGCTGCAGCACCCAAGATTGCTTCAGCTTTAGTTGACAAACAGATGGCCGGACATTCTCCTTCAGGATGTTTTGGTAGAGAGTAGAATTCATGGTTCTATCTATCACAGCAAGCCTTCCAGTTCCTGAAGTAGCAAAACAACCCCAGACCATCACACTACCACCACCATATTTTACTGTTGGTATGATATTCTTTGTCTGAAATGCTGTGTTACTTCTACGCCAGATGTAACGGGACATTTGCCTTCCAAAAAGTTCAACTTTTGTCTAATCAGTCCACAAGGTAGTTTCCCCAAAGTCTTGGCAATCATTGAGATGTTTCTTAGCAAAATTGAGACAAGCCCTAATGTTCTTTTTGCTTAACAGTGGTTTGCGTCTTGGAAATCTGCCATGCAGGCCATTTTTGCCCAGTCTCTTTCTTATGGTGGAGTCGTGAACACTGACCTCAATTGAGGCAAGTGAGGCCTGCAGTTCTTTAGAAGTTGTCCTGGGGTCTTTAGTGACTTCTCGGATGAGTTGTCTCTGCGCTCTTGGGGTCATTTTGGTCGGCCGCCCACTCCTGGGAAGGTTCAGCACTGTTCCATGTTGTTGCCATTTGTGGATAATGGCTCTCACTGTGGTTCGTTGGAGTCCCAAAGCTTTAGAAATGGCTTTATAACCTTTACCAGACTGATAGATCTCATTTACTTTTGTTCTCATTTGTTCTTGAATTTCTTTAGATCTTGGCATGATGTCTAGCTTTTGAGGTGCTTTTGGTCTACTTCACTGTGTCAGGCAGCTCATATTTAAGCGATTTCTTGATTGAAACAGGTGTGGCAGTAATCAGGCTTGGGGGTGGTTACAGAAATTGAACTCAGGTGTGAAACACCACAGTTGGGTTATTTTTTAACAAGGGGGGCAATTACTTTTTCACACAGGGCAATGTAGGTTTGGATTTAGTTCTCTCCCTAAATAATAAAAACCATCATTTCAAAACTGCATTTTGTGTTTACTTGTGTTATCTTTGACTAGTGGCTAAATGTGTTTGATGATCAGAAACATTTTGTGTGACAAACATGCAAAAGAATAAGAAATCAGGAAGGGGGCAAATAGTTTTTCACACCACTGTATGTGAATAACTATCAGAGATCAGTGTAAGGGAAAATTGAGAGGTTCTTACATTTTAATTAATGAGCCGTAAGGCGTGGGATTCCATAGGAAATATGAAATCCGCCTCACGGATCGGGGGTTGGTTAAATCAGAAGATCGGGTCTTTTTAATGCAGAGATCATGTAACCGTTATGTATTCACTCGGAGACAACAAAATAGAACGAGTCAAGTTTAAAAGTTAAGAAATTTTACTACTAACAATTGAAGTAGGCTTATTTAAGAACTAAGTGTATAGTGCGACTAAAAATGGATGAGGCGGTGAATGGATGACGTGTCATGTAAATCAGAACCCTCAAATCCGAAGAAGCGTTTAGTTCTGACGGGAACTGAAGATGTTGGTTTGGAATAAGCTGGGGTTCGTTTCAGAACTGCATGAGACACCATTAAGCTGCGCCGACCTGCCTGGTGGAAGTCCTCTGTGAGATCAGGAATGCCGAGGTCCACCCGGACCCTCTCTGGACACCGAGCTAGTAGCAGAGCTGCAGTTCCGACCAGACCCGTCTCGAGATACTGCCGGCACACGACTCTTTTCTTGGCGTCTGGTCAGACCCAGCCTGGGTCAGTGGAGCTCTTATTCTGAAAGGAGCTGTTGTCGTTGCTTGTTGTTATAGCGACTGGATTTTCTCAGCTTGTCTTGGTTCTTTCGGTTGAAGAGTTATAAAGTTGAGGATTGGCCACTCCGTCACTTTGCTCTGGAACGCTTTGAACTGCATTAGAGCTGACGTGGCATCTGTTTTATACCTCGGATGTTAGGCTTATTGTCGAATGAAAATTACCAAACACCCTCAGAAGCACGCCTCCGTCAGATCTGTAAGATTCTGATTGGATCAGTGAAAAGAATGTGTTATGTCTTTTTAACACTACGTGAAATTAGTCCTGTTGGAACATTTAAAGTTACATTACTTCATTTCTAAGATCATAATAAAATAATTAATATTTTAATTTCACAGGTCGGTCACATCTTATTATATTGACCAACACTCTGATGGATTAGCTTTATTAAAATAGAGTTCTTTGATTAATCAAAAGAAACTAGTTCATTCTTCTTTCTTCTGTCTTCATGCTGGAATGTAAACAGTTTAGAAACGACTGTATGACCTTCGGGCTGTTCCAGACACACTGACACTGTGTCAAAAGGAAACAGCTGTTAGGGTAGAACTGGCTCCTTCATCACGTTACAGCAGCAAGAATAAAAAAGCCCAAATGATTAAATGAAAGGTCATTTTTTTTATTTTATTCGCTGATAAAATAATATTGTACAAGAATATCACAAAGATACTGAGATTTCCAGCTCTAAATGAGGACATATGATCAAACTCAATGTCTTTTTCTCAGTGTGACGATGTTCGCATGCTTTATAAATCTTTATGCTGAAAACTGATTTGTGCATCGCTGTAAATAAACTAAAAGGGCTCACACAAATGCATAAAATTGGGAAATCTGACAAAAACAACATTGAATTTTTTGTTTTTTTATTTTAAATGCCATTTTTCCAGTTTTCTCTGCATGAATCCACCCTGAAATCTTGTCTTGTTAGGGTGAAATATCTGCTCAGAGGTGCTCGTGGGATGGTACAGAAGTGTCAAAGCTCTCCTCTGCAAAGATTTAAATTCGACTCAAACCACTTTTGAGTCAAATTAAAGCTTCACCGACTCACTACTGCAGCTGTTCACCTTTTAGCAGTTTTTGTCTTTCGTGCATAAGCAACATCATTGAGCTCTACTGTAAAAATATTAATCATGCCATTGTTGCCAGAAGCCAATATGGTCGGCAGAAGCAAGGAAAAACATTGACAGCGACCTTTAGTGTGATTCATTTATCGCTCTGCTATTTGAGTGATAGAACAGTCTTTTTTGTTGTATTCGGTGCAAGATATTATTGCATGACCTTGTTTCAAAGAAAAGAGCCAGACTACGTAAACCACTGCTCAGATAAAGAGGACCTTTCTGGTTTGTATTAAATAGATTATTCTAGTTGCTCCAAAGCAGAAATCAAACAGGATGACCTTCCTTTAAAAGGCAACCCAGATATTTACATCAGCTGATGCCTGATGTGCTTCTTTCATTCCTTTTATCAGGCTGACACACACACATACATGAAGAATTGACTAGAATTACAAAGGAGGCGACTTGTGGTTCCAGTGTAAATCACTGCTCCGCTTTGCATATCAGGGTCATGTTCAGGCAACTTAAAACACTCGTCTGTTGGCTGCTGCGGAACGCAGATCAATGCATTTGCAGGTAGGCAGACGGTGGGGGATAGTGGCAGGAAAAGGGACTAGCAGTGGTACTGGTGTATAAGATTCCCTTGTGAGAACAGGGGTCCAGATCAAGGCCCCAACATAAATGAGAGAGGAAGAGGTGTGAGGGAGCAGAGATGAAGATGCAAAAAAAGGAGGAAGAATGGGTTCTTAAAAAGAAGAGTGGCTGGAAATGCACAAAGTGAAAATGGAAAATGGGGAATGTGGCAGAAAGTGGTACCCAAAACTAAAGATGTTCAAAAGATTTGTGACGAGAAAGCAGAAAATTGGATAAAAATGGACAAATGGGAGTGTACGGTTGAAGAGTGAGAGCACAAATTCCTGAAAAGTACAGAGCTGACTGACAGATGGAAGACGCTCTGAAAATCTTCAAGGTCTCCATTACAGAATCTATCTACATCAGGCTTTCTGCTTCTCAGTCAATCTGTCCTTTATTCCTTCAGTTTATTTTAAACCAATTCATTTTTCTGTGGAATCTGCTGCCACGATGAAGCTTTATCTTACCTTTTACGCATTAAAACCCCCTAAATTTATCACGATCTGTGCAGAGATGGGACACTTTAGCATTAGAGATTCATGAAAAACGACGTACAAGAGTGCTCCGTTTACAAACTACTGACAAAGATGTGTAAAAGAGTTAAAACTCTGGCAAAATCCAGTGAGAGATCCACAAAATATCAAGTCTCACTAATTGAGTTTGACAGGTTCAACAAAGCGGCAACTTGAAACCTCAGAGGTAATTAAGTCTCATCAGAATGAAAGCACATTATTTATCAGAGCCATGTGGGGTCCTACAATCTTGAACTTTTTTTCCTTGAAAGAGAATGAATTAATCACAAGAAGAGAAAAGAAGCGCCTTACTCTCATCCGGGTTAGGTGAGGCAAGGATGGCGCTGTGCTTCCTCTTCACCTCTTCAACTTTCTCTGCCAGAGACTCGATAAAACCCCGGATCTCTTCTACCTGTCAATAGAGAGACCAAGAAGTGCTTTAGATCTGCTCAGCAGCGAGGCGGGAGGCACCAGTGATTAGTCTGACTGATGTTGACAGAGTCTGATCCGAGGATGTAATCATCGTATTAGAAGCAAAAGCAGAACATGCAGACAGGAGAATGGGGATTTTTTAGGCTGGGGCAGCCTCAGGCATAATTCCTCTGTGATTTAGCAAAACTGGAGCACTTTCTTATGTATGTATGCATGTGTGTGAAGTCTGGACTAAAACTGAGCACCATCTGGAAACAGAAGAAAACAATCGACATGTATGCATGTGTGCAAATACCATAAATATTGGCACCTTGGAGTTCTTCGTTCTGGATGATGAGAGACCTATGTGACTTGTTAGAACTTACAATACCTCCTTCAGTTTAACAATGAGCTTCCTTCCTGCTACTTTCTGTATTCCCGAGACACTCCACGCACTTTGTGCACCTTGTACGCTCACATTCAACACTCACTCTGTGCCATACACTAGTACGACTCTTGAGTGGTGACTAGAAGTGAGCTACGAGTTGAAGATCATGCCAGGCCAGCAAATTGGTACCATGTAGAAATGAGGTCAGCCAGTATTCGATTCTACAAAAAGTAGTACATACTGCATCAGACCGGATTGGCAGGCAAACTTTTAAAAAGCAGAAAGACACCAAAACAATTTCCCCAAACAATTTTTGTAAATCAGGTTTGGCCACAAGTTAGTAGTTGATTTGGGGAATTTCAAACAATTCAGTTGTATTGGTTTTTGGTATTACGAGGTTAAGATCTAGGCTTTCAAGGCTAGGAGGGAGTCTAAAAACTGATGGCGACCTATACAATTTGTTTGTTCCACCCTTAATTTGCTTAGGTTCATTTATGTCTCTTTCATAAAAATTATTTTAACACGGTGCTATTTGTTTGAACTGGTACAATACGTTTGAGACTTTTTAATGCAGACATTAGCATATTTGGTGGCTCGTCCAGGATTGGTGACTTTGTGGGTTTCTGATGGTTATTGGACCCAGTTCACACAGCAAGATAACAATGCCGATATCTCCCCTTCCGGCAATCTTAAAAACGTGCCTGATCGATGTGATGGCTCTAAAAATAATTTGTGCTCTGGTCCACTCGGAAGGAAGCTGGAATCATACATTAGGACTATTCACCATGTTGGATCGTCTCTCCCCAATTTTGAAGGCAAATGAGTGTCCTGCCTGTTGAATGTGACGTGAAGCCAGTCAGAAAGTGAGGGGACAGAAGTGCGCTCCTCCTCCTCCTGTTTTTTTTTTTTACTCTCAAATTCATTTGTGACCTAGAATGTTGGCGAAATTTCCCAAATGACCTGGGAATGTTCATGTGTAGTTTTTGCCATATGGCAGCACACCGCACACTACAGGACCAAAAATGTTAAATCAGAAGTTTATCACAACATGTGGGGTCTCTTGTGTTTTGAAACTCATCCTGTCATTTCCTTCCATGTAAACCTGGAGCTCCCTAGTTGGGATGCTGCCCCCGCGACCCGGACCCGGATAAGCGGAGGAAGACGACGACGACGACGACGTAAACCGGGCCTTAGTTTTGCAGTAGTCTGTGACTTCATGCCTTTTGGTTACACATTCCTGATGTGCAGTGTGAGTGGTTACACAATATATTTTATGCTTTTGTAACTGTGTAAACTTTCGATTAAAGCTGCAATAGCAAATCTGCAAAACACACTATATTAAAACATGTTTTATGCATCTTAACATTTTAACATATTACAGCTATTAATGTTTTGTGGAGATAAAACAAAGTAATTTAAGTTATTTTCTCAAATTTGTTCTAAAACCACAGCCAATAACACGGCTCGGATCATCCGGTTGTCAGTCTCACTGAACCATTGCATTTACCTGGGTCCTCCACTCAATATGCGCTAGTGCATTTAGCAACACAGCATCACTTGTGAGAGATTCTCCACTCAATATTATCAGAGAAGGAGAAACAGCCAGCTGCTACCGCTTCAACTTTAGGACAACCTACCAGTCCCAAATGGAGAAAAACCATTTGAAGTCATGGGAAACAAAAGACATTTGGACCTAAATAACTGCAACTGGTGATTTGGGGCTTTCTCATGCTCCTCTGGCAACGTACATTCCCACATCTGGGGGACATGGGCTAGAACGGGAAGAGTGAGAGTTACATATGTGACCATGTTTGTGTTTAAAAGCTAGCTTGTTTTGCCACCACTGGTTTAAGCCTGAAGACTTTTATGAGGCATGTTTTCAGTTTTGTAAAAGTGCATGACTGGCAGTAATTAATGCTGGTGTCTTTCTGGGATCTATATTGGGTTTAATGGGGAGCTTCATGTGCTCCTGTAGATCCAACAAAGACCATCGGTCTGATTTCTTTGCTTTATAACAGGATCATCCTCCAGTGTGACGATCCTTATGTTTATGTTTATGTTTATTCATTTCGCAGACGCTTTTATCCAAAGCGACGTACAAGTTTTTTTTTTTTTTTGTTTATAACCTGTAGGGCATGTTGTGATGTGTGGGGGAAACCGGAGTACCCGGAGGAAACCCACGCATGCATGGGGAGAACACGCAACTCCACGCAGAAAGGCGAGTTTTGAACCTGCGACCTTCGTGCTGCGAGGCAACAGTGCTAACCACTGCGTCACCATGCAGCCCATGGTGGCGCACTGGATCATCCTCCAGTGTGACGATCCGAACACACTAAAAGATTAATCTAAAGCAGCAACACACATCTATTTCTTTTTTAAAATGCTACGTCATCTTCCACCAAAATGCATCTCTGACTCTATAACCAATCACTTCCCTCCTTGCACCCTCATCACCAGCTGTGCTGATCGTGCTTACAGCTGGACGAACAGCAGGTCACATCCATCAGTGACTTCATCAATCTGAACTTTCATCTGCGACCGTCATCCTTCTCATCACTTTCTCCTCCTTTACACCTGCTCATCCTCAGCCCAGCCTTCTCACCTCCACATGAACACTTCAGGGCTTTGATTTTTTTCTTTCTTCTTTCACTTCAACGCTCTGCCACACTCTTGAGACTCCCTTCAGAAATTTTGGGTCATTATTCTTGAATTAGCTTCTTAAATAACCAGTGATTGGATCTGTTATTTTTTTAATAACAAGCTAATTTGCTTTGAAGCACCACATGGGAGGGACCACAGACTGGAGGATTCACTTATCTGAATGCAGAATTTACTAACAAAAGGAGGAGAAATCACTTTAGGCTGTTTAGAAACCCGTTTGTTACGAGTCGCAGACAACCAGAGAACTCTCGTAACGCATCAGAGATTCTTATTCGAGAAATAAAACATAAAAATTATTTCAGAAACTCTGTTGCATGCAAAAACACACAATATGTGCTTCTTATGACAGATTGCCAATGACTATTACACACTAAAGACAGTTGGGTGACTCTGCCTACTCAACCGCTGGGTTATGAAATATTTTGTTTGTATTGGGTTATTTAGGATCTGGATTATTTTGCTAACTGTTACTGGCATATACCTCATGCTAACATCAGTGCTATAATCAATACCTGTGCAACACACGGATGCACATTTGTATGTCTGTGTGTATGTGTGCTGCTTAAACGGGTGAATTTCCCCACTGTGGGATTAATAAAGTCTATTCTATTCTGTAACTCGTGCACTTGGTCAAACTCCACTCATCCATTGACCCTACCTGGGTTGTTCATATTTTGATGTCATCATGTTGGCTTTTACGTTCTATGTAATAAATCGACACACTCGCCAGGCACCAAGGCACGACTCGAGCAAGGCCCCGTCACAACCTGACTGATCATCTTTGTGGTGAAGCAAATTGACATCGTGTTACATTAGCGATTAAAGTAATATCCTGATATCAGTGCTGCCAACTAAACCAGCTACTTAGCTGGTTAGCGAACTTGAGAAGCTTATAACATGACTATTTGTAGTTTGTCATTTTTTGCATTGGTTATTTGTGTCAGGAACTATTTCTCAGCCCCTGCCATGTTATGTTTTGTTGGTGTTAATTTCCTTCCCCTACCCCTTGTTATCTGGTCCCTACCAGTTCTTGTTCCACCCTGATTTTCTCCTCTTTTCCTCTTTTTCTTTAATCTGTTCTTCTTCTCGTTTTTTCTTTATTCTGTCCTTTTGTTTTTTCCTACTCTGCTCTTTTACTCTTCATTGATACGAACCAACAACTGGAGGGGGGTTCCTGAGTGACATGCGACGGCCCGTGCATTCCCAGTGACTCCCTATTCAAACTGTTTCGGTTAATGGACTGATTCAGGGGGAACTCACTGAGATTCATCTACTCTATCTACTCTACCTTACCCACCTGTTTCTCTGACAATACTGGTGCATTTAAATCCTGCTTATCCTGTGATTGTTCATGTTTTTTTTCTCTGTTGAGTTTCCCTGCCCAAGTCCTGACTTGTTGATTTTTAAATAAATTCTTAACTTCTCAGTGATAGAGTTTCTGCCCTGGAACTGGGAGATCAGGGTTCAAAACCCAGTGGGGTCATACCCATTGGGTAAAAATGGAATTCAATGTCTTCCTGCTTGACATTAATCTTAAAGGGGGTTGGATTGGGGGGTTAAACTACCAAATAGTTCCCGAGCGCAGCTGCAGCTCACCGCTCCCCACAGGGATGGGTCAAATGCGGAGATGTAATTTCACCAGTGTGTGATGATGACTAGGTGACTTTAAAAGCATCCACAGCGGCTACCCGGAGAGTCCTCACCTGCATTTGGGTCCGCACCACACCTCCTTACAATTTGCACATTTGTTTTTATGTAGCTATTTGCAGTTTCTGCAATGACTGTTTGCACTGTTCTTTTTTGAATGTTTTATAATAATAAACTTCAAGGTAGATTCCAATATAATTCAAGTATCCAGTATGTATTTTCTTAAATGACTGGAGTTTAGTACATATGGGTATTATTGCAATTTATTTTTTATAGATTGTACTGCAACATGCTCTGATTAATTTGGCATGTTTGTTAATTTGACAAACCAGAACAACCAAGGATTTTAGAAAATTGGACCCAGCATTTGGTTAGAATAAATAAATATACTACATATAATTGAAACAACCCAGGATTTTAGTTAATTTGACCCAGAGTTTGGGTTGTACTTTTTTCAACCCTAACCCACCGTGCCGGGTCAAAACAGCTCCTGCTGAGCTGGTGCTACAATGACCCAGCAGATGAGACATAAAACAGCTCAGATTGGGTTATTTTTGATTCAACTGTTTTTAGTTTGTACTGAAACGATCTTTTGATGTTTGCAAATCATTTGTGGAAGCAGCTTTTTTTATTACAACGTGACCTAAGTTGAATTTTACAGTTTTGATGATGAAACTGCATTTTTACTCTGTGCCAGTGAGCGGGAATCAACAGCTGGTAATTCAAACAGAAAAATGATTTGTTTTATCTCCGTCACCTGAATTTCATCTGTTAAAATGGAAAAGTCATACGAGGCCACAGGGCAACTTTCTTGCCTTTGCTCTCTTCCTTCTTGCATCACGAGGTGAAAGGAGCCTCGCTACCCAGCATGAGAGGATCACTGACATGGCTAATGATGCTGCCATCCTTTTCATAGCATAGAAAATGTCTAAATACACAATGTGAGCTTTTCATTACTGACTTTAATATTTAATATAATAAACACTATTCTTCAAGAAATGCCCATGAAGAAAATAACATTTCTTCAAAAACTTTGATTTTAGATAATTTAAAAAAAAATTCAATTTCAAAAGTGAATATTATTGACTTTATGTCTCACATTCATCCCTGTATCTGAATTAATGTCTTAAATGACTAATAAATAATACAAATCAGTAAAAAAATAAGTTAAAAAAATTATTTCTTTAAACTGATGCAGCTAATACTAAGACTCTGCAGCTGCACGCTCAGTCAGCTGTTCATGATAAATGTTCATGCACAACTTGGGTCAGATCGTTTTAGGAATCTGAAGACTGATCTGATAGAAATGTGACATTTCCCTGTCGTAGCAGACTAAAAAACTAGTCTTTAACTGATGTCGGGCTGAACAATCTGACTTGTTGAAAGGATAAAATAAATATCGATTTTGGTTTCCTTAAGAAATCTTTTGACAGTAATAAAATGCAGCTTTATTCTTCCGAGCCAATAAAAAGCTATTGCATCCACTATGAGAGCAGAAATCAAACAAAGCCACTTTTATATTTCCACAAATGCCACAAACACATTATAAAATCAATACCCGCATTCAGAGGTCCAGTTTATGTTAGGAGAGGAAGACAAAAGGTCTGGTTTCACTCCAGATCTCCACTAAAACCTTCATTACCACAATAAGTCAGGGTGAAACTGGCTCTGCTCCATTTAAATGCTCACATTCTTCATCTATCCATTAGCTTTTAGCACTTTGGTCTCATTTTAAAATCTGTTTCTCTCAGACTCAGACTGTTCTCAGATAATCTTTCTGCCAAACTCTGCTTTTGTGTTTCAGTGTCAATATTAGAGGCAAAATCATACCAAAAAAATCATGCATTTAGGCAAACTGAAGTAGAAGGTGTCCGAAAAACACAGATATTGGGTCAGAAGGTGGCAAATGAACACTAAAATGTAATTAACAGATTTTATACTCTGCTCTGTTAGCCCGGTTAGATTCAAATGCAACATTTTTGGCTTCTTTAAGCAAACGCTTACAGGGAAAATGCTGCAGAATTAAAAATGAGGCAGGTCTTGTGTTGGAGGCCTGTGCATCTTTTCACACTTAATGGATAAAGAGGTGATTAAAAATACACTTGCATCTCACAACATAATTAAATGCACATCATTTCCTTCAACGACGACATACAATCAGAAAAATCCAGAACCTATTACCAGAACGTTTGTTTTTAGAGTTAAGATTCAGAGAGATAATAAACCACTGCACAGATCATTTGACTGATGCTTCTGCAGCTCAGCTGAAGTGATTTGGCATCCTTGGTGATGCATTTGTCTGCTTTGAAAACTCAAATCAAAAGTGTTGTTTTTTTTTTTGCCCCAGCCTCCTTTATCAATCACAAATGGTGTTAAGAGGCATTCAGCCTCGCATGACCCGCCTTTGCAGCAGCATTAGCAATGGTGATTTGAGGACATCAAAGATAAAGAACGCATGTATGTAAAACCACAGCTGTTTTAAAACAGAGATTACTGAAAAAATTAATTACATCAAAATTTGTTCAAATTGCCACCCACTGTGTGAGATTCTATTAAATAAGCATCACAGACGCCGCTCTACTCGCAGTGAAAGACATCACAAAGTAAAGTTAGCATGGTTCTGTATGATAGATGACTCACAGCAGGCCTCCATCCCTGCAGAAATCCCAACTACACCAAAATAATATGGGCTCTTCCCTCTGACAACCATGACAGTGTTTAGTGTGTGTTCCTGAGTGCACACGGCAGCTGTGGGAATACATGTTGGCAATGTTTCCACAAGAAAAGTTGTGAGAAAAGAAGGGAAACTATCCAGGAACACACACTAATGTGATGAACCGAGTCAGTAGTCTATTTTTTTTCTAAAGAAATAAAGAACACAATGATCCATATCCCACCTGCAACCACGTCAATAGTTATAAATGATTACAGCACTGCTAAAAGGAAACAAAATGATTGATGTGTGTGTGTGTGTGTGTGTGTGTGTGTGTGTGTGTGTGTGTGTGTGTGTGTGTGTGTGTGTGTGTGTGTGTGTGTGTGTGTGTGTGTGTGTGTGTGTGTGTGTGTTCCAAACCAACCTGTTCAAAGAATTCATCCATAAAGCCTTTATCCATCCCCACTGTCACTTCATCCTCCTCCTCTGTCGTCTCCTTCCCCTAAAATAAAAACACACTTTAACACTTGGTAGAAAATTAAATACATTTGGATTTTCTTTTTATTTAAGAAACTCAAATTCACTCATAATTCAAAATTTCAAATATTAGACTGTATAAAATTGCATTGCATAATTCTATCTCAAACACCTTCTCCGCTCATCATCTGATTAGAAACAAGGGGCACTTAACCACACATGTAATTAGACACAGTTCAAGTGATTAGCAAGGTTTATTTAATTAGAACCTAGGAGGAGATTGATTTATTTTTTGTTGTTTTTGTACATCTTTATCTTCTCTCTCTCTCTCTCTCTCACACACACACACACACACACACACACACACACACACACACACACACACACACACACACACACACACACTTGTATTTATATGCTTGTGTGGCTGTGGTAGCGTCACAGTCTGTGATAGTTTTGGTGATTATTGAACACAGAATTAGTACAAAGATGCTATTTTTTTCTAGAATAATCTGAAACCAACTTAAAACCTATGTGCTATAAGGAACATTTAAACAAATCTTTGATCCAATTTATTCGTAAAGCAAGTTTTAATACTACACAATACACCGGTGTTGTATAATACAACGTACAAAACGGGAGGCACCAACGTCGGACCTCCAGGAACCATAAAAGGTGCCCACCAGCCTTTTCTCCAAATAGCACAAGTCTAAAACAAAATTAATCAACAAAATCTGCTGCCATCTTTTTTAATCACAAATGCTTTCATGTAGATCAAAAAACTACTATTTTAAAAAAATAATTCAAATATATTTATTATACATGAAGTTTAGTTTAAGTCTGATCTATTCTAGTTCAAAAGTAACTATTGTGTAAACATGGTAGCTCTTCGTGTGGCTCAGTGCTCAAAAGTAGCTCTCAGATTCACAAAGGTTGGTGACCCCTGGTATATGAAAACAAGATGACAAAAAAACTAAAAGTGAACTACTTTTAAAGGGATTAACCAACTCACATGAGCTGAAAGCTATTGGGAAAAGACACGATTATAAAACAGAGTTAAAGAGAAGCTATTATTTGGTTTTGCGATGACTAAAAGCAGCTGATAAACTGATATAAAGGCTTCTCACTGAAAGTTCTAATTTTAACTACAGAAATCAAAATCAATTAAGCCTTAATCACCAGATCTGGCAATATATATGGAAAGCGGTTGTTGGAAAACACACTAGGATAAACAATCAATGTAAAAACAAAATTACAGGAATAAAAATGGTCGTTACACAAAATTAAATTATTTTAAATGGTGCTGATTTACTGAAGCATTCCCAGTGTTGTCAGATTCCACAGATTGGATGGGATTTAATGTAGGAAGCGCATCAGATCCATAGAAACACTTTCTCCTAACTTGTAGGGTCCTATACCCCTGAACTAGATGTCTCCTGGTCCTACCCTCTGTCAGTGCGCCCCAGGGCAGATGTGGCTATATTGTAGCTCATCATCACCAGTGTGTGAATGTGTGTGTGAATGATGCACTGAAGTGTAAAGCGCTTTGGAGTCCTCTGACTCGGCACTATACAAGTGCAGGTGATTGTTGCAGGACCACCTCAATAACAAGCATAATAATGTGGCTGATATTTTTAAGGTTTTATTATTTTAATAAAATATAATGAGAGAAAATAAAAATAATAACTTCCCATCATGTAAGCAGTGATTCATCAGGAAATAAATCTCTCTTTCTAATCACATCAGCCATTACGCTACATTAGCAGATCTCATGTGGCTTCATCTCATTCATCTGACCGCTGTCAAACTAATTCAGCTCCCCATTAGTGGCTTATGAAATCCATTTGCGTATCAACATCGTGATGACAGAGTGCAGTTTTCCTCTTCTGCCTGGAGCATCTCTTTTATTTAATTCAGATATTTGCAGGACATGCAGGGACAGAATCCATAATTCTGCTTCAGATTTCTTAAAGGTGTGGAACACTCATTTAATCAGCATTGTTGGTTCCTTTTTTAAAACACAGAAAAGTTTTTTTTAACCTGCTGCTGACAGTTTCATTCGCGGCTGCAAACATCCTCAGAGCTGACGCTGATGGTGGCGTCACTTCCTACTCTGTTTATCCGCGGGCAGCAGAGGACGTTGTCGCCCTTTGCTGCCCGCTCTCCCCTCCGATGATGCAGTCCCATGAGCGATCCAATGTGTAGACCCCATTGTCTCTGTTCATGGTCCCACATCCACGTCTCCTTATCTCTATAGCTTCCTTTATCCATCTTTTGTGTTTCTGTTGTTCGGTGTTTATGATCCTCGTGTTGTCCCAGTCCATTATACGGTTTTCTCTTGTGCAGTGATCTGTTACGGCTGACTTCTTTATTGTACTTTCTGCTTCTTGTTTTGCTGCTCTTGTGTGTCTTCGACTTGTTTCTTTCTCGCACTCCTTTCTATGTTCTATTGTTCGTGAGTTGAGTTGGTGTCCGGTTTCTCCTGTGTATGTTTTATTGCAGCGTTTGCATGGGATTTCGTAAACAACTCCACATTTATGTCCAGCTGGTATCTTGTCTTTTGGGTGTACTAGTCTGTTTCTAACTGTTGTGTATGGCTTTGTTGGTGTGTTTATGTTGTGTTTTTTCATTGTTGCTCTTAATTTTTCTGTTATGCCTTTGATGTATGGTAAGGTTATCACTGGTTTTGGTTCTCGTCTTTCTGGGTTTCTGGTTCTTTGCTTTGGTTGTTCTTTTCTTTCTGTTGTTGTTTGTTGTTTTCCTTTGTTTATTGCCCATGTCGGGTATACGCAGGTCTTTAAAGTGTGTTGTATGTGTTTGTCCTCTTGTTTACGGTCTCTTTCTTCTGTTACCATGTTTGCTCAGTGATATAATGTTCTGATTACTGACATTTTGTGTATGGTGGGGTGTTCTGATGTCCATAATAAATATTGGTTTGTGTGTTGGTTTCCTGTATGTGTTTATGTTTAGGGTCCCGTCGGTCTGCCTGCTTATTTTCATGTACATAAAAGATATACTGCCTTCTGTTTCTGACTCATATGTGAACTTTATGTTGCCTGTGTCGTCAATGTTATTCAAGTGTTGTGTTAGTGTTTCTGTTTGTCCTTTTGGTAGCATTTCCATAATTTTATTTTGCAGTTTGGGGGGGGGGGGGGGGGCAGTGGCTATGGCTTTTTGTTCGAGGTCTTCCATGAAAAACTCGCATAGGGTGGCTGATAACGGTTTACCCATGGCGAAGCCTTCCAGTTGTTTGTATATTGTATCATCGTATGTGAAGTAAGTGGAGTTAGCTACCAGTCATATCAGTTGTGCTATGTCATCTGCTGTGATGTTTGTTCTTTTGTGTAAAGTTTTGTCCTGTCTGATTCTGTTAACTACTATGTCTATGGTTTTTTTGGGTTGGTGTTTTGTGAACAGGGATGCGGGCAGCAGAGGACGTCGTCACCCTCTGGGATAAACGGAGTAGGAAGGGATGCCACCATCAGTGTCAGCTCTGAGGAAGTTTGCAGCCACGAACGAAACAGTCAGTAGCAATGTAAAAAAAATAAACCTTTTCTGTGTTTTCAAAAAAGAACCAACAATGCCGTTCGAAATGCAACACAGTAAGAACATACCAAAGATACTCATTTAATCAATTCATTAGCAGTAGCCTCCAGTAGGAATGGATGTCTTAGTCATACTCTAGGGGAAACAAAGCTCCAGTGCACCAGTTTCAGGAACCACAAAATTGCCACATCAGAGGTGAGCTTCAGACAATAGGATCTCACCTCTGATTGGCTAACAGAAATGCAACTCTCATTTCATTAGCAGGAATAACCATAAAATGAGACATTTATAGCAAAGGATATTTTTCTTCCAGGTAGATCTTCTGAAACATTGGTCCGCTTAACTGTCAATCATTCTGGTGAACTATTCACGCAAGGCCATCGTTGTACGTTGCTGGGTGGTTTTCACTTCCTACGCATGCGCAAAGTGAAAGTTGGGCTCCCCACAGACGCCTCTGTCGCCAATTTTCTGCTTGACAGATAAGCTAAAGTTCGGCATGCTTTTTGGAGAAATTTATTTCAGATTATTGCTAGAAGAAGAAGTTGGCTGCAACGCCAGCAGCTACTTTTAATGAGGATAACTGGGCGTTCTCTCATGTGCTTTTTTATTTTTTTATTTTGTTTTATTTTTCAAAAACGAGGAGCAGGCGGTTCTTTCCTGAAATACAGAAACATCCTCCACTATACATTTAAATTGCAGTTACATTAAAGACCAAGTTCCCTTGAATTTTCAATACAATTGCAGTGGTGTCTAGTATAAATAAACACCTTGTGAGTTGGTCTCTTTGGGAACATAGCTCTGGCATTCCTGTTTCAGGAAGTAGAAAGTTAGAGGATAGCTGAGCAGAAGACAACAGGATTTGGAGTTTTACTTCCTGATTTTCTGACATCTAGTAACTGATTGGCTAACAACATTGTGACTCTACCACTGATTTTGTTTGCTTTGCAGTGTAGATGTTTTATCTCCACAATACAAGCTTGAATGAGTTATGCCATGTTGTGGAGTTGCTAATGCTAACGGTTAGCTTCTACTAGCCAGGACATTCTCTGCTCTCTCCTAGACGCTAAATCAACAACAACCTTCCCTGTCACGGGCCAGGATGATAGATAAATAAAAAAAACTTTATTAATCCCTCGGGTGAGTTCCTTCGGGAAATTCAGTTTGCAAAAAAAGCAGCGCAACACCGACAGAGGTTACAGAATGTCAGAAAATATTATATAATAATAAAAATAGAAATAAATATAAAAATACAATTGAATTGCACCTTCCGGATATCAACGTCCTTAGCACCGTTGACCATTAAACCAATTTAACTGTTTAACAAAGGTACTTGCATTGAGGTATTGCACAGTGAAGTGAAGAGTCACTACAGCGTCGGTGTCCCCCCCTCCTTTGTCCTCCTGTTTGTCCTCCCTCTCCCCTCCAGAGAGGAGTTATACAGTCTGATGGCGTGTGGAACAAAGGAGTTTTTAAGTCTGT